GAGTTGAGTCAGCATACTAGATTTTCCTCTTTTCCAAATTCTTTCAGTCTGTTCCTTGCTGTTTTCATATTCCTCTGTTAAATACTTCTGAGAAAAGCTTGTCTCCCAGATCAAAATAAATTGTTGGTGGGAGAGAGAGCTTTATTAAAAACCAAAACAGGATCTTTCATGAGAAAATAACTAGGCTGTTGGACTGATTTTGTGGCAGCAAAGTAAACTGAGAATTTCTAGCTTGAAAATCATTTTGAAAACAGTGGGCTCCACCAATGGGGACGAAAGAAAGATAAGTAGAAAGAAGTCATCCTGCAGTATCTGTGGGGATTGGTTCTAGGAGGCCTGAGGCTACCAAAATCTGTGGGTGCTCAAGTCTCATGAGAAAGAAGGCATACAATTTGCACATAACTTATGAACATCCTGTATACTTCACACCATCCACACACTATTTATAATACCTACTACAGTGGCTGTATCAGGTTAATAGTTGTTAGATGGTTTTGCTTAGAGAACAATAACAAGAAACAATCCTGTACCTGCTCGTTTACAGAGGCAAACTTTTAGATTATTTTCAAAATGAGGCTAGCTAAATGCATGGATGTGGAATCCATGGATACTGAGGCTCTACTGCAATTGATGATGGCACCCCCGACCCCCCAGGACCTAATACAGAATGAAGACGGACTGTGTTACAAGATTATAGTGAAAGGAGGTTTGCCTTAGTGACACCTGAAACAATATCACTGAAATAAAGGCACATATTTGCCATGCAAAGTGCACTGTATAAACCAAACATGTCTAAGTATCAGGAGATGATTCTAGGTGGGCATACGGAATGCTGGTCCATATTTATGCTACTGCAGGGCAAGAATCACCACTGGAAGCTGCGAAGACAGCCAGAGCTACTCTGGCTCTCCAACAGAGGTATAGCAGCTCCATTTAATATTCTTGTCTAGTGAAACAGCAAGGTCCTTTGTGCCTATTTTTAAATGCACGTTTTTAATATTCGATATAATGTTACTCTTTAACAAACTCTTTACTCCCTGCCTCTCTGATGAAGCTTCCTGTGGTCTTTAAAGGGATTGTTAACCCAAGAATGGATCACACTATTTCTGCATGGGCAGGTCACGAGCCACTCCATTAAGTCTTCCAGTATTTAATAGAAAGCGCTGTCACTCACCTCTGAGGAGATGAGCCAGCTGCTCAGTAAGAAGCTCTGGAGCCTCCTGGAGAAGCTCTCTCAGTACAAGGGACGAGGAAGACTCTTGGTCCTCCAGCTCAGCACTGTTCTGCTCTACTGGGCTAATGACTTTGACAACTGCTGATTCCAATGGTTTGTCCTCACTGCAAAGAAAATGGATGAGAAGAAGAGAAAGGAGCTATGAGGAGGGAGAATTTTCTCACTTTTTGAAATTATTTGCTCTCTGTTCCTGCAAAAATTATTTCTTCTTAGTAACCACATCACAAATAGGTGAGTAAACTCATATGATGGTGGAGAAAAGAGCCCTGTCCATGTCTTTTCTCATTTCATTTCGACCAATTACTCCCCCCAAGAGTTCTAAAGTATCTTCACACCTTATTGACTGTGTCTTAGTTGCTTATATACTGCTGAGATAAGATACCCAACAGACACTTTAAGGGAGGATTTGTCTCACAGTTTGTAGAGGTTTCAGCTCTAAGTTGTCTAGCTCCAAGGCAGGGTGGCTCAACAGAAGGGCATGACAGAAGAGAAACATTTCATTGTGAAGCAGGATGCGGAAGGCATCAAGCAGAAGCAAACAAAGGAGCAGAAGTGACAACCAGTGACACTAGCCCCCTTTGCTGTCTCTCATATTTTATCCAGGCTAGGCTACCTACACTAAGACCCTAGGCGGAGCACCTTTTATCCTACCTAGAATTATGTAAACCAACCAGTTGGATAGTTTAGTAATCATATACCTTTGATCCTAGCATTCCACACTTTAGATCCAGCCATTTCTGAAAAGTCCCACTATGACCACAGGGCGCTTTAGGGGCACATCTAGACATGAGCCATGACAAACTCAATCTCTGTTTTTTCACTGTTGGGAAATAATAGCTAATACTTAATACTGATCTCCCAGTATAGGCTAGCACTATTCCACATTTTAGTTTATGTTGTCACATTTCATAAAATGAAATGATCCTATGAAACAGTTTCTAATAACATCTCTGATTTACAGTGCCAGCCAAATAGCTCAGTGGATTAAAGTGCCTGGTAACCCCAGCACTTGGAAGGCTGTAAACAGGAGAATCACTAAGAGTCCAATCTAGTAGTAAGACCCTGAACATCCTGTAACCCTTCCCTAAAAATACAGAAAATAAATAAATAAATAAAGTCCAATTTATAAATGGGGAAATTGAGGCACAAAACAGTTAAGAAATTTGTTCAAGGGTGCACAACCAACGAGAAGATAGCTACATTTAAACTCTTGACAAGTTAGCTCCAAAATATGGTATGAATTGAAACTATAGTGTAGAAAAGAGTTACTACTGGGCATATTTATTTCTACTATCATTCCTTAAATATGATATAGAGGTGGTGTTTATCAAAGCCAGGAAGAAAATTCTGGCTAAAACTGACTTTATTTATTCTGTCAAAAACAAATGAGTAACAGTAGAAGAATTAAAGATCTCAATTAACTCTTGAAAATCATTTTATGTCATAAATAATCCCAAAGCCAGAGTTCACAATTTGAGTTCTGAAGATCAGAATGAATATTTCTATTCTTAATTGGTCACAAAATTCTCAGATTTTGATTGATACACTCATTCCATAGGTCACTCCTTTAGCTTTGTACAGTGTCCTTGTAAAGCATACTTGGATTAGTTGGTTTGGAAAAGCTAAAAATGAAGTGTATGATTATCCTGAACACAAATGCTATGGTTGTGGTATAATTTCAGAGTCCCCCAAAGATCTATCTGGAGGTGGAATTTGGGGGAAGTGCTATGGACCTCTAGGAGACAGAGCCTATTGGGACGTATGTAGGTCATGGGGTGATATCCTAAGGGAGACTGTGGGACCCTGACTATTCAGTCTGTGTGTCCCTAGCTGGAGACATAACTGCTTCGCTTCTGTACTTGCTGATGTGTCACCCTCACCATAGCCCAAAACAGTGGGACCACCTGATCTGAAACTTGAGCCAAGATAAATCTCTTATTATCTGTATCAAGTATTTATACCTATATATATATTATAATGTAGTCATACCTAAGTATAATATATTCATTCCTAAGTGTATTTAAAAGGTACAATTAAAATGGTTAAATACAAAAGTTCTTATTTCATATACACTAATGTCAGTGTCTACTAGTGAGTTCTGCAATTAGCAGACTAGAAAACTATGCAAAGAATGAACAGCTCAAGGTGATCCATGCTGAATCTTCACTCAACAGTGGCAGACAGCTTCTCCCAAGGACATCTTCATAAGGTCATTGAAGGCAGATTTGTGGTGTTTCTCTTGATGAACCGTTAGACTCTTGCCCCAGTTAACACTCCTATGTACTTACTGAAGGAAGCAGAAGAACCAATTCTAACCGGAACTCTTATATTGACTACATGTGGGGAAGTTATTTGGGTATCAGATTTCCTGTCCATAAAATAGGGGACTGGAGCTATATCAGCATTCATAAATTAATTGTAAAATGCCACAAGTGCACAAACTAGTGGCCAAATGGATTTCATTACCCATCTCTACCTATCGTTCCACTTCATTATTGAGATTTCTCTCTTAGGAAACTTTCAGTTCTAGTTAGTGTTTGATTTCCATTTGCATTTCCTATTTTAAGCATTGATCCATAAGATTATTGTGTTTCTATAAGAAAATATTTTAATGGTTTAAAATTTTGATTCTGGTTAATTTTACAAAAATATTCCACTTAAGAACGTTGTATTTTAAATGCAAAAGTAAAAATTAAAAAATTGACACTACCTGAATTTTGTTATAAAAGAATTCTTTCCTCTGAATATCTTCAGCTTCCAATGCATCCCCCTAAGCCACCACAACCCTGAGCAAGGTGACAGCTGCCGAGAGGACCCTCCGTTAAGGACTGACTTATTCCTCCAACACCTCACAGTGAGTCTTACCTTGCCAGGATGTTGCTACCAATGAGTGTCATAGATAACTTTCCTTCATTATTTAGCTGGTGCAGATTAACTTCATCTCGGAATATGTGGAAGGAGTCAGAGATATTTAGTTCTTCTAAAATAAACCTGGTCTCTGTGAAGTAGTTGAATTCGGTTCTTGGAATATTTAGCACTGGTAAACAGAGAACCCCAGGTGGGCTGACCTACCAAGAGAAAATTGAAAAGAGTCATTCAAAAGCAGCAGAGAAGAAGACAGAACTACCTTTCCAGCTGTCTAAAGGTAACTGGTAACTGGAACGCAAGTGTGTAGGCTGCACTTAACCATTCATCACCAGATTTTTCTGTGCACAGTTCATAGAGAATTGTGCACTGGGCAGTGGCACTCTAAAAAATTTCTTGAAACCTCTCATATCTTACTTGAAGTGTCTTATGTCTCACTTCAACTCCTCTACTGTAAAACAAAACAGCAACAAAAACAATGACTAAACCTACAATATGATTTTTCTCTCACCTGTAATGCTCATTCTGAATTTACCTGCATTCTCCTTCAGGGGTAACAGCCTCACATGTGTTTATGGGACTAGAGGAAAATTGGAATGACAGAGGCAGGTGTGGAAGAGGGGACTTCAGGGACATAAGAAGGCACACCACGCCACCTCTAAGTGGGATCCAGCCAATCGCTCACTTGAAAAATGCAAACCTAGGGGGCTGGGGAGATGGCTGGGGCCTGAGTTCAATCCCCAGTTCTGCCAAACAAACAAAAAATGCAAACCTACTGTAGTCAAATCTTCTGCCTACTAAGAACCCCTAGATCTCCAGTCACTTGCTATCTGTGGTGCTGAATTGTAACAATTAAGTTTCAGAATGACAAAACACAATAAAGGACATGAAAAACTCATCCAACAGACAGATTTGGCCAACAAGCTAACAGATGGTAATCTCCACTGATCTCTTGTACTCTTTCTAAAAGCTTATGTTCAAGAACCTCTCCAAAGGCTTTGCAGTAACTGAGATAGAGGTAGGAGAAAGAGAATTCCAAATTCACAATAATAAACTTATTTTCCTATAGGAACTTTTAAAAATACACGTGCTTTTAAAATTTACTATGAGCAGTTAGCAATCAAAATCACTATCACTGAAAGAACTCAGGGTTTACTAACATTTGACATAAAGTAAATGGTCTTTATTCTCACTTTGTCACTAGCTCTGCCACCAGCACAGTGCCCAACACACTGTTGAATATCTTTGTCATCTGTGGCCCATGCATGGCACGAATCAATCAGGCTTTTCTGACAGTTCTGCTCAATTGTGTCTTCCGGTACGCCAGACAGGCTGGCACCTAGTGAACATTTAATATTTATTGAGTGAAATAAATGAATCAGCCACTAGAATAAAAAACACAAAGCTGCTCCCACAGTGTGGTTTTTCTCTCACCTATAAGGTTTTTACTGAATCACAGTTGCATAATAATCATTAACAATGTATGGAAGGCAAATTATTTTGCTAATTGAGTGAGAGTTCTATCTAACTGATAAGGATACGGAAACAGGAATCAACACAGAAGTTGGGATCATCTGGCCTGATCCTGCACAGGAAGGATTTGTTCTGAACCTGGAGCCAGAAGTACCAGTCTCTGCTGTGTGACGTTGAGGAAGCCACTTCTCTCTCTGGCCCTCAGTTTTCCCTATGTGTAGACTGGGGCTCACCTATCAAAGTAAGAAGGATCTGAACTGGGTCACACATGCAAGCCTGGAAATCCCTGTACTTATCCCATTTGGAGAAGAAGAAACCAGGTTCTCAGGAAACATTTAAATAGGGTGAAGACCACTTGTAGGGGCAGAGCCCAGTGAGGTGAGGCAATAAATTCACAGCAAGTGACTCAATCATCCCACATTTGTTTCTGTACTTAGTGACAAGGCTTCAAAGAAAGAGAGGAGGACCCATGTGTCTATTTCTATGTATCTCTTTCATCTCACATAATTACCTCCCCACCTCTTTTGTTGTGTATCATTATATTCATTCGAGACTCAGCTGTTGGTGGTGATGGTATCATTACATAATTTCCTTCTAATTCTAGGCCATTATTCGTCTACTTCAGTCAACTCTCTGTTCTCTGGACAAAGAAAAAACCCCATTAAGAGTAATTTTTAATATGTATATCTTGAAATAGGCATATTTATCTCCTCACACCAATTAATCTCTCTTGTAAAGTTCAACAAATTTTAAGATAAATTTGATATAAAGCCCACATGTAGAGATCAGAATATTTTGCCCATCATTTTTGTCAGCAGCTGCCCTAAAGCAGTTCTCACCCCCCGCAGCTCACTCTGGAAGACTGGCTTTCATGTGAATTTCAGTGGCTCTAGATCAGCTACACATACCATCAGGGCCGAGGATTTTAAAAAATGGAATAAAACAAACTAGACTCTGGAAAATTGAAAACTGAGTGAAAGTATTAAAAGTAACACTCAAAGACTTGCTGCATATGTATTTAGGTTTTTGAAGCAGTAAAAATCTATCATCATGGGCAGATGGATTTTATGGGAGGGAAATTTTAAAACAGTGTATTGTAGGGCTTTCATACTGGTCTTCGTGAATGAAGGAAGATTATGATCATGGTGCAAGAGCTAAAAGGCAAGATAGAGCAAGCACTTGTGGAAGGTACATTTGACAAGTAATTCCTCTGCCTTTAAAAATCTTAGACTATGTGCCCTGTACTTCATGGAGTGTCCATACTAGTGATACTGTGCAGACTTTTCTATCCCAAGGTAAATCTGTCCAACTTGATGAGGACAGAAATAAGAGCTTCTGACCTTAGTTCTGTTAGTCCCCTCAATTCCCACAAAAGTAATTAGCTACAATAAACAGTTTCCATTTCTTATTTTAAAGCATTTACCTTATTAAAACAATCAATAAGGAAACTAGACCAACACAGTCTAGATGCAATGCATAGTCTAGGTGCCTAATAAATATTTGTTGGTTGATGGATAATAATGCTTTATTTTCTGTAACAACAAAAATTAAGTTGCTAGCTACCTTTTTGCTAGCAAATGTTCCTTCTTAGAAGTTACAGAATCCAAGTACAGAAGGTGCAATCAGTGCTCCTCACCTTGTCTAGAAAGTAAGCATATGTAAAGGCGGAAATGAGAGTGTCCAAGTCACAGGACTTAGGTCCAATGACCACGTGAACCTTCTCCAAGCGTTTGCTTCGATTCTGAAACAAATTCAAACAAAACATTGTAAGTCAGTCTGCAAAAGATCAATAGAGAGGGGATATTTTTCAACCTTTTTAAATGTCTTATCTACATTCATATACAATGGAAGAAAATCATAAATTTATCATGAACATTCACATGAAAAATACATTTAACCTCC